CCCTGCAGGCCTTGTCACCCCTACTTCCCCAACCACCCCACCACCAGCCATCTTTTGGTGTCCATCTCATGGCAATGTGGGGATGGCCATCTTGTGATGACATGGGGGGTGGCCATCATGTGGCTGCCATCTTGTGATGATGTGGGGATGGCCATCTTGTGACGGAATGAGACAGCCATCTTGTGATGGCGTGGGGTGGCCATCTTGTGATGATTTGGGATAGCCATCTTCTGGTGGCCATCTTGTGACGATGTAGGGGTGGCCATCTTGTGATGATGTGAGGGCATGTGGGCCACCTAGGCTTTTATTAGTTTAGATAAATTTTTGGCATTTGTTCTAGGTCTGTGAAATATGCCATTGATATTTTAACAGAGATTGTATTGAGTCTTTATATTGTTTTGGGTAGTGTGGACATTTTAATGATGTTACCTTGTGTTTGATGTTAACCACAATTTCATAGATAAGGAAACTGAAATTTAAAGAAGTTGATTATTTGCTCCAAGTCTTCTAATAACTGGAAGAGTTAGAATTAGACTCAAATTTAGCAGATGCTGAAACTACTTGCCCCAACTTTTGCCTTCTTCCAATCAGTGTGATTTTCAAGAGTGTCCTGTGAAAGGGAGACATAGTCGCTGAATGAAAATATTAGGAGAAGAGCAGGATGGGGTCACTAAGGTCGAAATTGCCTTGGGAAGGGGTATGGGTAACTGCCTGGGGCCTGCACAACAGCCAGGACCAGAAGGAAAAGGTTTACAATGGAAACAGGGCTTTAGGTTGACTCCCATCCCTGTGCCTCTACCTGACCAATGTGAAGGGAAGTTGTAGTGCTTCCAAAAGATATGGAAGCTGGAAAAGGCAATGCTGAGCAGGAGGGTGTAGAAGATCAATTCTGAAAGAAGAGACCAGAATTCAAAGGTATAAAGGAACTATGAAAGCAAAAGGTGGCTAGAAAAATTTCCCTAAAATTTAGGGGGCCAGGAGAGAAATGGTAATTCCAAACCACTCAGTTGGAATTGGGATTTGAGGGTCACTAATAGGTGTTCTCTTTGAAAACCATCCTTGCTGGAGAGAAGCCAAGAGGAGTAGATGCTCCAAGCTGTGGCCTCATAACACCATTGTCATGGTTTGCAAATCCCTTAATAGCCAGAGACTCCAATGCAGTCTGACCTGGGTTTGCTCCTTTTAGTACATTCTTTTCTTTTTGGGGGGGATAGTCATGGTTATTGCTGCAAATGGAAAAGTTGAGTAGGCATTGTGGTGTATACACTCAGACCTATGTCAGTGATGGGAAGTGCCCGTTCTCAGGGCAGCTTTGCAGATGTAGTTCTTCGTGGGTTTTGTAAATCATTGCTCATCTTTGTCTCATTTATATTCCTTTCCTGGTGCACAAGTCAGCATGTTGAATTCATTGTAACTAACTTTAGCATGTGGACTGAGAGGTTAGATTAGATTAAGCAAATGTTTTAAGTAAATTGTGTAAAATTAGCTAATAAAGAGCTGAGACCTCAGCCACTTCTTCAATATTAAGCAAGTATGTGATTAATGTTGAGCAAGATATTTTTATTTAATTCCCTGAAGAAAAAGCAGAGTTGTTTTTTTTCTTTTAAAAACATTACAATTACAGTTGACATTCAATATTGTATTAGTTTCAGGTACACAATATAGCAGTTACACATTTATATAACTTACAAAGTGATCCTCGCCTAAGTTTTGCACATACCTGACACTATGTATAGTTATTGCAATATTATTGACTATATTCCCTAAAATGAACTTTACACCCCCGTGACTGGTTTTATAATTGCCAATTTGTACTTCTTAATCCCTTCACCTTTTTCTCCCATCCTCACAATCCTGTCACATCTGACAACTAGTACAATAGTTTGTTCTCTATATCTGTGAGTTTGTTTTTGTTTTTCTTTGTTCATTTATTTTGTTTTTTAGAGTCCACATATAAATGAAATCATATGGTATTTGTCTTTCTTTGTCTGACATTTCATCTAGCATAATACCTTCTAGGTCCATTCATGTCATTACAAATGTTGTGATTCATTCTTTTTTATGGCCAAGTAATGTCCCATTGTACATATAGACACCACCTTTTCTTTATCCATTCATCGTTTGGTTGGAGCATTTAATCCATTTACATTTAAAGTAATTATTAATAGGCATGTAGTTATTGACATTTTATTAATTGTTTTTTATTGTTTTTGTAGTTCTCTTTCTATTCTCTTGCTCTCCTTTCTTATATGTTGATTACGTCTTTGTTGTGTTTGGATTTATTTTATTTACTAGGGGCCAAGTGCATGAATTCATGCACCTTGAAATGAACTGTGGGCCATGAGGCTGTGGTGGGCACAGGGGCGGGTCTTGGCCCATTCTCCATGATCCCACCTGGCCCCTACTGCCATGGCCCCTGGTCCCCTATCTGTCTACAGCCCCACTCCTGCCACTGCTGCTCCCACATGCTGATGGCGCTGACCCCACCCACACCTGCTGATGACTCGAAGCAATTGGGGCCAGCACCAGCAGCAGGTGTAAGAGGGACTGGTGCCATCAGCGGGTGCAAGCAGTGGCTGCTGCCCAATCACCCCTCAGGAGCAGTGGGAGGTGGAGAAGCCATCAGGGGCAATCAGGGCCAGCAGCCACTGCTTGCACTCACTGACAACACCTAGAGATTGGGGCCAGTGCCAGGTGCCGGCAATGGAGCCAGCGCTGGCAGCAGGTGCAAACCCAGGGCAGAACCACAGCACACCAGAGTAAAAATTTTTCAGTATCCACCAGAGGCTCACCCCAATGACAGCAACTGGCACCCTACCTTGGTCTGACATCCCCACTTACCTGTTCCACCATCTCGCCTTGGTCAACACCCACCATGTTCCACGTGCATCCCCTGGTGGTCAGCTCACATCATAGAGATCGGTTATCTGGTTGTTCCGTTGGTCAATCTATTTGCATATTAGCCTTTTATGATATAGGCTTTCTTGTAGATTTTTGGTTTGTGGTTACCATGTGCTGCATATATAGGAAGCTATGTGTATAGCAGTCTGTTTTAACTTGATGATCACTTAAGTTCAAATACATTCTAAAATCACTATCATTTTTACTCATGCCCTCTCCGTTTATATTTTTTATTTTTGCTTCTTTTGTGTGTCTTTTTGTATCTCTTAATTTACTGTTGGAATTATACATGATCTTTCTACTTTCGCCTTTTAACCTGTGTACTAGCTCTAGTGTTTTCTGATATTTGTCTAGTGTTTTCTGATATAAAGTAAAAATACTTTTCTTTACAATATTTTCTTATTCATATTTTTTCTTATTATTATTAGAGTAGTCCCTTTAACATTTCTTATAATACTGATTGGTGGTGATAAACTCCCTAAGCTTTTCTTCTTTGGGAAGCTCTTTCTCTCTCGTTTGCTGGATAGAGTAATGTTGGTTGTAGGTCCTTGCTTTTCATCAGCATATTCATTTTTCAAAGAGTCTGTGAGTTGGTGGATTTTTGAATATGTAGTATTCTTTAAATATTTTTAAGGAAAAAATTTTAAAAAGAAACCTAGCAAGAATAACACAACACCCATATTCCCATCACCTGGAATTATCTCTTCACATTTACCAAGTATTATTTAAGAGTCTTTAATTTAAAAATAATGAGGCATTATAAAATTTTAATTGTACTATTCTATACACCACCTCCCAAAGCCATTAGCTTCTTCCATTTTTCTAGTAATAATCTCCATCATGAAACTAATGAGTATCTTTCCAATCTGTATATACATATAGATAGATGTTTATATGTATGTTTACACTAAGGTGACCAGATAGCCCAGGTGTTGGCGGGACAGTCCTGATTTCTAACGATTTTTCCCACATCCCGCGGCATTTTTAAAAAGTCTCGATTTTTGGAAAGAATCTTTCCAATGTTTCCAATCTTTCCAAAAATTGGGACTTTTTAAAAATGCTCCGGGACGCAGGAAAAATTGTTAGAAATCAGGACTGTCCCGCCAACACCTGGATGATCCAGTCACCTTAGTTTACACACACATACAGGCATCTATGAGCAATACTGTTTTGTGGGTTCCATTTATAAACATACACAATGTAGCATATTGCATGCACAGACAATAGTAGGGAACATGTACTGAGTGATTGCACTGTGCCTGAAGTTGTACTATTTCCATCCTTTCAATGACTATATGTAGTAGGCTGTTGTTATCCCCAATTCCTCTAAGTCCTTGCCTCCAACATTTGTTATTGTCTTCCTTCTTCATTCTAGCCATCCTAACGAATATTAAAAAAAGTATCTATCTTGTGTTTTTTATTAGCATTTCCCTGATGACTAAAAATGTTGTCTTTTTCTCATGTGCTTATTGGTCATTTGTATGTCTTCTTTGCAATATCTATTCAAATCCTTTGCCTATTTCTTAACTGGGCAATTTGTTCTTCTGAGTTGTAAGTGTTCTTCATGTATTCTCAGTACAAGTCCTTTCTCAGATATATGATTTACAAATATTTTTTCCTATTCTTTGGATTGTTTTTCACTTTCTTGATGTCAGTTGGTGAATTTTCATATTTTTCGTATTCATGTTTTCTGAAAACTTCAGTTTTCAAAATTGTGTCCATATTGTCTGCTGAGTGGATGGATCACAAGTCAGATAGTCTTGATGTGCACATGGAGAATAAAGTAACTGCATCTAGTTTTCTGTAGATTAAACTACTCCTGCATTGGATACAAAAGCACAGACTTTCCAAAGTCATCTAGGTGAGTCCCTTAGCCAGGCAAGGTAGTTCACCTTTGATAATAGAGAAGATATACCTTGATACCTAATTAGAATTTGAACTTAATAATGAAAAGCATTGAAGTTATTCCTTATATTTCTAAACTGTTAATTAACTCAACATCATTTGGATTTTTGTTTAACCTGACCTCTTCCTATTCTTTTCTTTATTTCCTTCCTTCTTTTTTCTCCTCTTCCCTCCCCACTCGATTTTAATTTCAGATTGAAAATGGCTCAGGAATCAGTCAGCAAGTTGACATCAGAGAAGAAAGTGGAGACAAAGAAAATCAATCCTACCGCCAGTCTGGTGAGATACATTTTTCAGCATAAACTCAAGATTTTTCATTGTAACTGATGTGTGCCCAGGAGTGTGTCTGAATTTAAAGGACAAAACTCAGGGAAATGGCAGCTAGTATCCAGGTTCTCAGTTCCCACCCCAGAGTAGTGTATAGATTAAATGTATGTATACATATGCATATATATACATATATATACACATATATATGTATATACATACACATATATATTATATACATATATATACACTCATATATATGTATATATACATATACATGTACATCCTACCTAATAAAAGAGTAATATGCAAATTAACCGCCACTCCCACCAGTCACACCCACCAGCCAATCAGAGAGAGTATGCAAATTAACCCCAACCAAGATGGCTGTAGCCCACATGTGTCAAACACAAGGCCCGCAGGCCAAATCCATCCCGCCAGGCCTTGCAATGTGGCCCGCACCGCGCTGTCATCACTGCACTCCGCTGCATTTCCATCACAATGACAGTTTATGACTGTTCAGTAAACCATTCGGCCCGCAATTTAGGCTGGATTTTAGATTTTGGCCCCTTCTCTGATTGAGTTCGACACCCCTACTGTAGCCACAGAGAGCAGGAGGCTTGGGTTTCCCAGGCAATAAAGGATGCCAAGCTTCCACAGCCCTGGACAGCCTAGAACTCCACTCCAGGCTACAAAGTTTTAATTATAGAAGGTAAACAAATCCAAATAGAAATGGCGGCAGTCACAGAGCAAGCAGGGGGCTTGGCTCCGCAGGGGGCTAGGTCGCTGGGGGGTATGGTTGGCTTGCAAACCACCACAGGCCCCTCACCCAGGCCATCCCCACCCCAAGGGAATCCCCACCTTTATCAGGGATACCATTCAGCTGGCCCCCCACCCATGCACTAGGCCTCTAATAAAATAATATGAGTAATATGCAGATTGACCATCACTCCAACACACAAGATGGCTGCCCCCATGTGGTTAATGATCTTGCCCCAAGAGGGCCACCACAAGATGGCCAGCAGGGGAGAGCAGTTGGGAGGGACCAGGCCTGCAAGGGAGAGCAGTTGAGAGGGACCGGGTATGCAAGGGAGGGCAGTTGGCAGCGATCAACCCTTCAGGGGAGGGCAGTTAGAGGTGACCAGGCCGGCAGAGGAGGGAAGTTGGGGGCAAACAAGCTGGCAGGGGAGCAGTTAGACATTAATCAGGCTGGCATAGGAATGGTTAGGGGGTGGTCAGGCTGGCAGGCAGAAGCAGTTAGGGGCAATCAGGAAGGCAGGCAGGTGAGCAGTTGGGAACCAGCAGTCCTGGATTGTGAGAGGGATGTCCGACTGCCCACCGGGATTGGGTCTAAACAGGCAGTTGGACATCCCTCAAGGGGTCCGAGATTGGAGAGGGTGCAGGTTGGGCTGAGGGACACCCCCTCCCACCCAATGCATGAATTTCGTGCACTGGGCCTCATATATATACATATATGAGAGGAGGGAGTAAGGAACAAAACAACTTCATGCATTTGCCACCAAATTCAACAAAGGTCATTTTCTAATAAACCAAAATGAGTCACTTGTCATTTTATACCCTTCCACTGCCCTTCCCCCACATGCCGTGATCCCCCTCATCTCAAAGCACCTTTCTCCTAATATGTTTAAGCATTTCACTCTCATCACTTTCTTTCCCCAGTAAAGAAAGGGGCAGGCTTATCAATAGAAAAACTGAGATGCAGAAAATATACAGCCTACCTGTACCACTTCACAGATGGATAACAAAAGCCAGGATCTGAGCCTAGAAGTCCCTCCCTGTCCTAGAAACCAGCAGTCTGGTCCGGCTTCCTACTGTGGGGGCAAGTTGTCCCCCAAGGTCATGTTTCCAGGGTGGATCACAATGAATCTCCACCTGTTTGTCACAGACAATAGTTGGAATAGCTAAATGGGTATGAACTCAAGGTGTCAGGGTTCAAATCCTATCTCAGCCACTTACTAGTTGTAAAACCTAAGTGAAGTTCTTTTTTTTTTTCTTCCTCTTTTGTGAAAAGAGGGAAATAATATTATCTTTGCGTTAGGGTTATTTTGAGGAAGGTAGAAAGAGACATGTAAAGTGCTTAGCACATAATAAGAGCTCAGTAAGTGTTAGTTATTTTCCTTGTTATGAATTTTGGCAACATAGGTTGGCACTGCAATGGGGAACAGCAGTGAGTGGAAAGTAGGAGTATCACTCTCCTCACTTTGATTTTCAGACCCTCCCTTCCCTGTGCCCTGACCTCCTACAGCTACTTGGTATAATCCTTTTGTGTCACAAGTACTTTTTGCCAGCTGCTTCAACTGCTGTGACAACCCAAGTGGAAGATAAGTTATAAAGTGAGATTATTTCTGTTGATTGACTGTGGTGTCTCTCATAACCCCATCAGCAGCTAAATGAAATGTTGAGTGAAGTTCATGAGTGAGAAATAGAGACGCCAGAGCCACACAGCTTAGCCAGCAAAGGCAGTGGTTAGTGCACAGAGCCCCTATCTGAGCCAACATATCCTCCATGCCCATTGACACTCTGTTCATTACACTCACTTGTAGGGTTTCAGTGACAGTGGGCTCAACCCTGATTTTGACATTCTGTCTTCATCGGCCTCTTCCCCTTCCCCCAGGCCTCTTATTTGGATTTCTGTCCTAACTTTTATAGCCAAACTCATATCCAGTGGCAAAGAGAATGGACATAGCTCAACAGACCAGTAATTTCCAACCAGTGTACCACAAGAATTTTTAAAACATACAATACCTGACTGTTTACTCAGAGGTGCTGACCTTGTTTCCTTTAGATTGCAAGATTTTAAAAAATGACAACAGCCAACACAACAATAGCCATCCAGTGTGAATGAATCAAAATTATACCCTTTTTTGTTGTTGTTGTTGTTGTCGTCAGGTTGGCAAAAAAGATAATATATTTTTTGGTGTGCTGAAGAATTTTAGTAATTAATTTATGTATGCCATGAGATGAAAAGGGCTGAAAATATCTGCTTTAGACAAAAGAGACTCAGTGCTATTCTTTTGTAGGTGACCTCCACTATGAGCAAGCTCCAAATTGTGATCCTCAACTTGTTAGGGTTGTTTGTTTTGTTGTTTATTTTGGTAGAAATTACAGAAGAGCTTGAAAACTGATTCCTGGTTTAATTTTATAAGACAGGGATAGGATCTAAACTAGGGATGGCTGTTTAAAGTCATCAACATTTACATCTAGACCAATATAATAATTCATTGTAACATCGTATCCCCTGATCACAAGCAGCTGAGGATCCATTCTCAAAGGGCTTCTCTCTGCCTCTGCTCTTCCCAAAGGAATGTACTTCTCCTGTTTCTCCTTTAGCCTTCTATTCTCCCACCCCTAAAAGCAGACACACCCATCACTGTGCTTATTATATTTACTTCTCTAAAGCCCTAGACACAGTGAGGGCCTGTGTTTCTGTTTTGTGTTCTTGTTTGTGTTTGCATCCTGCCAGCAGACTTCTTTCCCATGAGAAATTTGTCCCTGGGAGGGAAGCTCGGGGAAAACAGAGCAGAACATCTACGGTGAACGAGAGCTCCTGCCATTCTGTGTAGACCTCATCTGATCATCTTCCAGTTTGACTTTTCGTATTTAGATCCCCTAAAAACTATTTCTTGAGCATTCCATAATTACATTAGTGGGCCATGGTTAGGGATGGAAGGACCCATTGAGTAACACTACAAAACTAGGACTTTTGTCACAGAACAACAACCTGGAATACTAATGGTCAGTGTTTCAGATGGATATACTTGGTTTACTAGTTGGTTATTATTATGTTGGTTTGTTGGAGAGTAAGGGTGATAGGTTGGCAGGGGCTGGTAACTGAAACATTCTAGGGAATGTAGTACAACTCTAGAATTCTAGACCAAAATTTTAGAAACTTATCAAAATTTGGGGAAGTTGAAAAATTAGAAAAGGAATGATAATAAACTTGTTGTTTTTTTTCTTAAACAACAGAAAGAAAGACTACGTCAAAAGGAAGCTAGTGTGACCACCAACTAAAAAAGAGACACTGAAGGTGACAGCAAGACTGAGTACCTTGCTTATCCTTTGCAACACCAGCGCTGCAGGAAGTTATTGAAAGACATGTTACTAAATATTGCTTTTGCTTATGGCTTTATGAGATCATCTGCAGTGAGAACTCGTGCCTTCCCAAACAAGTCCCTGGTTAAGCCACAGAACCAATGACAAGCTGTGTAAGGGAACATTGCAGGAGTATTTGATGATTGTTTCTGCAAAGGTCCAAAGTCAACTTTGTTATAAGATTAGAAGAAATCCCCAAGATTTTCCAAAAATTTTTAAAAGCAAAGATTTTAGGCTTTCTGACCCACTCTTGATATATGTAAATTTGTGACCAAAGAAGAGAGGGATCAGACGACAGTTGCCTTGAGAGAGTTCAAGTCTTTACACACTGCTGATTTGACTATTGACCTTCATTTTGATCCCATTGCATCAAGATCCTAAAGTCTCTTTCTCGCCAAAAATGTTGACATTTGCCCAAACTATTTTTAAAGAGGTCCAAGACTATGTATTTCTAAGAGGAGAGAAATGGTTATCTTATTGTTATTCATGTTATGGTAAGGAGCGGAAATGGGGTTATACATGGTGGAGAAGGGATTAAATAACAATAAACTTCATAAACCTGGAGAACACATTATGATACAGGGAGTTGACATCAGCCATTAAGCAATTAATTGTGGTATCCTGGACCAGCAGGAAGTCTCCATCCCAAATTCTGGAAGAAACAGTGATACTTGAGCAGGGAGACACTTGGGGTCAAAGCAGTTGCTTGGACAAGTGACCCAGTAACAGAGCACATTTCACATTTCAGAACATTCGTGAATGGGCAATGTCTTGTTGATGTGCACCTGAACTCTACATCTCGTTCTCAGACTGTGTGCAATCAGATCTTTCCCACCAACCCCAGGAGGCAGTTTCCAGACAGGACTGCAAATGTTACTTGGACCTTTGTTCTGACCTTGACCCTTGATGGACTGGCATGTGACAGAGGTCTTTGGTGTCTGAAAAATTAACTTCAGAAAAGTTCTTTACATGCAAATGCAAAGAAGGTTTTCACACTAATGGAACGTCATGTACAGCTTTTTTGGACCCTGGGAGCCGACATGACCACTGCCCCTTGAGTCACAAGAGAGAGGAATCTACCTTGTGAGTAGAGAAAAGAGGGGACTGAGGGTGAATTGATAATAGGATCAAAGACTATCAGGTTTGGGCCTTGAAGGGAGAGAGGTGAAAGCTTTCTCCTCCAAATGGTGGAGCAACAACCTTAAAACCCTTCCCAATCCAGCTGTGGTGTGGATTGTCCCATGATCTTCCCAGAACCTCTCAACTTCCAGGTGGCTGAATGTTTACCCGGGACATGCCTGCCAGGTATCAACCCCCTCAGGGACCCATAATACAATAGATCCAGCTTATTGAAGTGGCACCAGATCCTACTATAATGCCTGTCTTGGGAATCAAGAATGCACAGTCAGGATCCAATCAAGTCTCTGAAGCCATATTCATGCAGGTGCTAACCACCTTTTCAAAAGAAAGGAATATGGTAGCATAGTTGGGTGGTTGTGTTTTCCAGTTCAAAAAAAAAGGATGAGAAAGCAAAATAGGAAAGCTGGTAAGAAACTTACATAACTAAAAGAAGTTACTTGTGAGCAAGAAGCTTTTTAGACTAGACTGTTTTCTTATATTGTTTCTTCTTTCTCACTGAACTGTGAAGAAAACCTAAGGAAATCAATTGAAAACAAATTCCGCTTACAGCCATCCTGGACTCTGTGACATGCCTTTTGGTATTATCATAAAAAAAAAAAAAAAAAGTGCCTGTTTTGCCTATACCTTGAGAATCAACTTTGAGTTCAGTAAGCCCCACATATGTTTGGATCCAGGTGTGTCCTTAGAGACCCGATGGGAGACAGCTGCCAGTGGCCTTCAGTGGAGTCACCATCATCCACTTTAAGTCTTGAAGTGTGGTCTCCTATGAAAATCACTGAAGATAAGCAGGACTGTCACTTTGGCCACATAACCCAGCAGGGACATGCTCTCAGGGAATCATTGGGGAGGAATAACGAGTGGGAACATTTAATTTGAAAGTTAGACCAATGCAGCTTGAGGTGGGTTTTATCCTCAAGAATAGACTAGAAATTGGCGGTAAAATACCTCTTTCTAAAGAGCAAAGTTTGCCTGCCGATGTTGGGGAGACAGTGATTTTGTAAGATTAGTAAAAGGCAATATGTTAGTATATTAAGACACCAGGGCAGTATCGCCATCATTTTCACCCAGTTTGAATGCCGTGGTGTGTATCCGGATACCCCCTCCTCAATCCACACACATGCTACACTGTTGACATCACCTTTATTTCTAACTTAAGTTGATCATCAGTCAAGGTTCACAAGAGTTGTTCAAGGTAGGCCATCTAAAACAGCCTGCAGGCCTTAAAATGATCCCTCTAAAATGCAGTTGAGATTGTGTTTACACACACCAGGTGTCTCTGAACTTCTCCTGGAGAGGAAATAGTTGGGGTACCACTAGAGCTTGAGCATTTCAGGCAAGCAGGACTTAAGTGGCTATTCTAAGCACAGCCCTCCCCAAACAAGCGGGAGAGTGGCCGGTACTGCTATTCTGCTTAACCAGACACTCACATCGGTTAAGTCAGACTCTGGGAAATCTTAGCTTGAGAACATCATCTTCTCTTCTAGCCAAGATTCATTACATCAGGGCACAGTTGATAGCAGTTCACATTCTTGCATGAGGAACTGGCATCATCCCTCCAGCACACAAGTATATCATATATTAAACCAGAGCATGATGTAACTATCTTAGGTAAAAACAAACAAACAAACAAAACTCAGGCCTGTGAGGTGTCAAAAATCAGGTTAGAAGGAGGTGTGCACTATGGCTTTTAACCCAAGAAGAGGCAGCTTACCGGGGGAGAAAAAAGGGAAGAGTCTGGTGAAGCAGAAATTGATGATGGTGACTCCCCCACCATCACAGGTGATGGACCTGCTGCCCATCTGTTGCCTTTTGAATATCTGAATTGATGTCCGTGATGTCTCTTCAAATGCTTGCTGCAACTACCTAGGAATTATGGAGGAAGAATTTCCAAAACCTGAGAAGTAGGATAAGGAAACCTGGTGGTGCTATTACATCTGGAAATGTTGTAGCCTAAACAAATTGGCAATGTGGTTGAGGAATTGAATGTCAGATTGGATGCTGGTCTCTGACCTCCTGTTCTCCAAGTAGGGACAGTAGAAGCTGCATATCTGCTGAACCTCCCTTTAGCACCCCTTTGTCCATAAGCACCATGAGGAAAGGTGTTTTCTGAGTGGAAAAACTCGTATGCTGCTGGTGGAGCAACTGGAGAAACTGAAGAAAGGAAAGGAATTTTTGGTGGCATTGGAAATCTCCCCACAGATAGTCGTCAGTATGGTTCTTCCATGGGCCTGGATATATTAATAGCAGAAGGGATGTCAGTGCATTGTGCATGTCTCTCCATAGATTGCACTCCTTGCAATGGGGGAGTTTTCATTTCAATTATTCTTGCTTTCTTGAGTGTTTTCTCATTTCTATTTCTCCTTCCTTGCCTGCTGTCATTCATGCAGATCACTGCCTGCAACATCCCAGCAGTCAGCGTCTAGTCAGTGTGTGAGAGGGAATTGGCAAAACCACAGTCTCTTTCCCAATAGCCAGGCTTTAACTTTGGCAAGGGAACCTCTTTACTCCTTGATCTAATAAGTTGATCTATTTTGACACTCTCCCTTCCCCCAAACAAAGATAAAACCAATTTAGGGCCTTTTGTGTCAAGAAGAGAGAGAAAAAAGAAAGAAGAAAAAAAGTTTTTTCCCAAAAATATCAAATATACAACGTTATAAAGTAGTTTAACCTGTTAACCGAGCGGGACCTATAAATACGTCAAATGTAAACAATATTGGGAACGGGTAGGACGTATGAATACATCCTTGAAGTATATGTTGCGCCCTGAGAGGGACGGTATATATTTTTTGTAATCTTTATAATTCTTTGTAAAATTTATAATTTTTTAATTCGATGTTTCCATTTTTTTGTTGGTATTCTTTTCTATTTGTTTGTAATTTTGTATTTTCCTTTGTGCTTTATATATAAATAGACAAAAAATATATTTCATTTATTTTAATTAAGTATAAATAAAAATAATAATAATACAAAATTACGTCCACTGGGCATGACATACTGACACGTCCTAGTGAAAGAGTATGCACCCGTTGTACGTTGCGTAATTAAAAAGGGAACTCCCCGGTTAACAGGTTAAGTTGTCTTTAGGAATCACTAGGAAGAACTGCTGGATTTGAATTTTATTTTTATTTGATCCTGCCTGTTCTAATCAGGAATAAAAAATCACAAATGAAATAAACAAAATGCCAAGAAATAGAAGGGAAAATAAAAAGCATCAGCAGATTTGGCAATCTACAAATTAATTTATTGATTTCTGAATTATATAAAAATGAACATACTGTAAAATTCAGTTAATTTTTGGAAAAGCCATGTAGAAGGAGAAGTGGCATGGTGTAGTCGAAATGCTAGACCATTCAAGTTTCCTTACTCTGGATTTTCTTAAGAGCAGTTTATAAATGCATGGAACATCCAGAAGGCCATGACTATCACATTTCACATATTACATATTGTACCTGCAGGAACAATACCACTGAAGAGAGTGGATTCAATAAAGTCATGACCTTTCATTCATGTCAGCTACTTTGTCATCATAAAAAAATCTGCAGCATAAGAGAAACAAGTTTGTGTGGCCAACCTAATAATATTTAGCAGGAATTGAAAAGTAGGAATCACTTTTAGCCCCTCCAAAGTGCAAATAACTTGGACATATGTCCATTTTCCAGCTGTACAGAGTAACAATCCAGGTGCTTGGAACCTTCTCTGTAATTGGGGCAGAAGTCACTTAAAGAAAAGCACCTTCAGAAACAGGCCTAGGCATATCTGGCTCCCTTAGGCTCACATATCAGTATGTATCAATACAACTACGTTAGCAATTAAACCCAGGCAAGACTAGGCTCCATAACAGCTGTATGGGACTGAGCGGCCCATTTTGTGTCATTTCTGTATACCCACCAGTTGTTGACACCTTGTTAGAAGCATTGAATGTTAGTTTCACAATTCTTCATCTCCTTCCCAAGGAATGGGCATTCTAACAAACCCTCCTCCAGATCAATGCTTTGCTGGGCAGTAGTGAATTTAAGATAGTTTTAATGTGTCCAACTTGAAGCCTATTGTATGGTTGACAACTTACTTGAAAGCATAATGATATTAAAATGGCAGCTACCTCACTCTGTCTCTTAAGTCCCTGGGAGATTTCTACCAGTGCAGAGATTAGGGAAGCAAATCAAGCCTCATTCAGTAGGTTTGCTGTCCTCAGATAGAACATATTGGACTCATTTCCCCTCTATCTCCAGCCCCTCTCCCAGGCAGCCTGGTGAATGTAACATAGAGGACCCTTTCCCTCTCATCCTTCCTTTCTCTGGTATGATGATTCACTTCAATCAGCAGCTCAAATGAACCCCAGACTTTATTGCATATTACCGGATTTTCCAGCGTATAAGACGACCCCCTAATTTTACAGTTAAAACATAGGTTTAGGTCTATATTTGCTGTATAGGACTACCCCCTACTTCCGAGGCAACACCAGTTCTTTTTTTAATTAAATTTTTAATGAATGACATTTTTTGAACATACCGTAATATACCGTACATTGATACAATAAATGGAAGGTCTCTTCACAAATAGCAATGCCATGAAGTTGACCGAGAAACAAGAAATCCAAAGAGAACATTAACAATGATGGCATATCCAGATGATTTTCGGGATCGAGTTGGAAAATTCGTTTAGCGGCATATCAAGACTTTTTCGGGATATACTCGGCGTATAAGACGACCCCCGATTTTCGATTGACTTTTTTTCGGTTCAAACGTCGTTTTATACGCCGGAAAATACGGTATATCTATGAAGTCGTTGTTCATGAATTTCTTCTCTATGATCTGGGGACGACTGACTTAATCTCAATTTTTATATGGAAGTAGTAGCTAAAGCCATTCATTTATTCTTCTACGTTCCATCTTTGTTTATATAATTTTGTTTGTTTTTTGATTTTTCCTTAATACCAAGAACCTCCAGTCTGCCTCTTTTTCTAAAAGCTGATCCAGATACTTACTTCTTATGGGCTTGTAAAAAAAATGTTTTATGTGAAATTCTATAGCATCCGACTTAACAAAATTGTAGAAATTCACCTCCAAAGAATTTGGCATTCTTCCCCATGGAGTAAACTACCAGACCTAGGCTGTTTTGTAGGCTGAGCATTTCCTTAAATTCTGTACAGACACCAAGGCACCAAGGGGCTCTTTGTCTTTTAAACTATAAAAATGTCTAAGAAGATAGTGAATAACTCTTCCTCATATATAGTGTGAGTTGCCAATGCATTATGCTTAGCAATGAAGAAGTCAAGTGTTTTTAGGTGTGCATTCATGGTGGCTTGTCAACATCTCTGGCAAAGTTGTACCTACTTTGCTTTCTTGTTCTCTTTCAGGGCTTTCTTCCATTCTTGTCTCATGGAACAACTGTAATTTTATTTACCAATATGTCTGCTTCCCAAATGAAAGTTATTCCCATAGAGCTCCGAGTGTACAGGGAAATTACTCTCTCCTTCCCCATGACATGGATGGTCAATGTGTTCACAAATGAACTCTCTGAGAACTCTTGGGATGAACTTTGAACTCCAGGTCTCTTTCTATGAGATATATAAAAACGGGTGTATAGCATACAAAAAATAATGTACTACTCTTTCCAATAATAGACTAAAAACATATTCAAAATCTTTGCATTTTAAATAGGTTTAAGTAAACTAACTAGCTAACTTTTTTTCCTTGCTCCTTGGCAATTGGTCCCTAGCTATAGTCTTATTTCTTTGCATCTGACCACCAAGTCATAAAGAAGGTTGTCTCAGTCCCACTGAGATTCCACTCTGTGTAATCCTCCAAAAACATCCATTTCCTTTGGAAACAAATCCATGGGGGAGGGGGAAGTCTAGCAACAATTCTCCTGTCTGCTCAGTGTGACACTCCCAGGATTTTTTAGTCTACCAGAGGACTAGGACTATTCCACGTAATTACTTTTATAATTCCGCAGTTCTTCAGTTTCTCAAAACACAAATAATATGACTCTACTGTCAGTCAAATATGTAATCTTCAAAGGATATGAGCATTTTAAAAAGGATTTCTCTTTAAAGAAACAATCTGAGATAATTCTAAAAAAGGCAGAAACTTTTAAAATGAAAACTGGAAAAATTTTAAGACTCCTTAGACAAAACATGTCTTTGATTCATTATCATCTTTTCTCTCATTGAGTTTTAATTTAGACTACTGTGGGGAGCAGTGTGCCCCTAGAGTTTGATTTAGGGAATCGTGCTTTGGCCTGGAAAATCAGCGCTGGCCTGCACACCCAGACCTAAGTGAAGTCAGTCAGCATCCTAATAGGAATCAGGCCTAACAGAAATGTAAATTATCTCAAGTCCTTAAATGTTTGATTTTCTTAGCAACACCCTTTCTTAAAATGGACACTGCTTTCTTCAAATGCATTGGATCCATGCAGTCATGTGTGTTCATTCTACCTTGTGAGATTGCAGGCCATGGGCTGATGGAGAAGAGGTGACAGGGAAGAAGGAAACTTTGAACAAGGCCAGGGTGCGCTGTTTGGCTGATCACTGCATTGTCAGAGAGCTGGTCATTTTCACGATGGTTGTACCAATGGCCACTTAGGGAATTTGTATTAGGCAAATGGGAGTCCCCAGTG